CCTACCTACCACACACACACACACACACACACACACACACACACACACACACACACACACGGTGGGTAACTCTCCTGCAGATAGTCTGGCCTCAATTTCCCTCCCCACCCCCACCCCACATTGCTACCATTACAGTCACTGCTGGATCAGTTATGCAAATGAGTCCATCATCCGGCCAACAGCGTCTCTGTGACCGCAGCAGAGCCAGTGAGCGAGCGTGATGGGAAATCCTTGGAGAAGGAAGGACATAAATAGTGATAAATCTGTGTCTGCCTCTGTGTGTGTGTGTGTGTGTGTGTGTGTGTGTGTATCTCCCTCCCCTACTGTTGCTGCAGAGACACAGCAGGGACTCCCAAGGACTATTTGGATCTGTTCCCAGTGCTCTCGGTTGAAGGGTCCATCCCCTCCTCTTCCCTGCCCCCTCTAATCCAAGAATAAATAAAGCCAGAGAGGCTGCGCAGGGATGACACGAGGCCTCTCCCAGGAGCCTGGGCATAATTCAGATTTCAGGCTGAGTGGTGGTAGAGGGGAGATGAAGGCCTTGCCACAGAGTACTATCCTGTCTTTATTGATGTCTCCAGGACTATGGAGGTGACATCCCCCAACTGAGCCCCCAGGACCCCTGAGCAGGCCCCTGACAATGCCAGCATGTGCATGCTTTGACTCGTCAGCACAGCATTTTCCTTGAAGCCCCTGAAAATATTTCCCCTGCCTGTATTCCCCGACTCTTTAGCACCACGGAGCGGAAGGGGCTGGTGCACCAGCCAGGGAGATGAGACAGTAAAAGGTCTAATGGTTAGAGCATAGGATTGGGAGCCAGGACTCCTGCGTTCTAATCCTAGTTCTATTATTAAATACAAGGTCATGTTGGGCCAGAGCCTCAGATGATGTAAACTGATGTAGCTGCACTGAAGTCAGTGTGGATTTACACCAGCTGAGGAGCTGACCTTCAGTCTATTCGTGCCTCAGTTTCCCAATCTGAGGATAAAATCCTGACCTGACAGGGGCATTGTGAGGGTTAATTAGTATCATTTGGTCTCTGTGTGATCCTTGGAATTAAGGTGCTAGAAAAATACGAAATAACGGTATTAATGATTGTTATGAACAAAAGTGCTACTGTGGGTAAATAGAAAGCAGGGATGGAGAATCTGTCTGCGTCCTGGCTCCTCACAGCGGGGATTTCTTGGCCCCAGAGGAAAGTGTGGGGCTTAGAGAGACTCAGAGATGGTTCCTGCCAGAGGCCGAGCATCCTTATCTGCTCATAATTCCAATGCCAACTGAAGGGGCTAAGGATCAGCTAGGATCGGCCCCTGAAGCAGCATTGTCAGCTGGCATTTGAAAAGACGCAAGCAGGTCAATTCAGGCTACAATTTAGGTTTGGCGAAACCCTAAACATCAATGGAAATGTTTTCAGGGATTTTCTTTTGTCAGTAAACAAACCCAGGTTCCATGAACACAGTTTGCTTTCAAAGGAATACCGTTTTCCTGCGGCGTCTGCAAGCCAAACAGCAGAGGATCCTGTGAGCCTAGGAGAACTGGAGAGTGACACTGACCAGGCCTCTGATCCAGGAAAGTACTTAAGATGGCTCACAAGCAGTAGTTTAGTTTACCGGAGTGGGACTACTCACCTGTTTAGAGAATTCCACCTGTGCTTAATTGCCTTGCAGGCTGGGGGCAGGCACCTAGAATCAGAAGTGAAACTGACTGCTCTGTCTTCATCCTCCCAGCTAAAAGAAATGCAAAAAATAAACAAACAGCAGCAAGGGTGGATAGTAAATGGGATTTTTTTTTTAATTTTTAACTAGAGATGGGCCCTAACCAAAACCTCCTGTATAGACACACCTGACAATGAGAAACTGTGGAGCGATCCCCAAGCTTAGCTCACCTCTTGTTTTAGTAACCTAAGGTGTTAGGACTACCACAGGTTCGGAAATCTGTTTAGTAAAAATATTGGAATGCCAGCTTTACAGTGCTCCCTTAAAAAGCAGCCTCGCCCGGGGAAAGCCCCTCACTTTCACAAGTGACTTCTGGGCTGCTGTTGAGGAAGCAATCTGTATTGCTGAGATACTGGTGTTGAATAGCCTGGCTGTGCTGTCTTGCCAGACCCAGCCACTCACCCCTCCTCCTCCTTGGTCCTGCTGCAGCATCCTAATGCTGACTACCCTGCGGCGCCAGGGGGCTGAGGAGGGACTTGTCATCTGCATCACAACACGGACAGGCCCATCTTTAAAGAAAGCAGAATATCAGGCCCCGAAACCGTTCCAGGAGGAAGGGAAAGCCAGAGAAGAGCACCCCCTTCTGGATTTGTTAGGAAAAGGAACACACAGTCTGGATCCCGTGCTGATCTCAGCACTCATGTGCTACAGTCTGCTGAACATCAGGGAGAGGGTGACTGACGGAGGAGGGGAGTTGGAGGGCCTTTTGTAAATACCCCTGGTATGCTGACAAATGTCCAGAAACACAGGCAAAGTGACTTGTTAGCCCCGATTACAATTTTCTCCAGGAGTCCACATAAAGCCTCAGACCCAATTCTTCCCCTACAGGATACCAATAGCTACCACTGAAGTCAATAAGAGTTGATCTGGACCCACTCTGGGGTGTATCTGGATTTGTATAGCCTTGGAGGGAATGCCTGAACTGGATTCCTGAACAGCCTGGAATGGACTATGAGAGGAGGAACTGGATAAGAATCTGAACTGGATCCCTGTGTTCCTCTGGAATGGCCTCTGGGTGCAGAACCCTGTTGAGAGGAGACTCAGAAGGGGATTTCTGTGGCTCCTTGGCTGGAATGGACTTTGGGTACAAGTCCCTTGGGTGCTTTGTCACCCCTTCTGCTCCTGTAAGTGTTTGTGCAGTTTCCTACCCCATTCCCATGCTACTTGTGTGCAGGCACATACTATAATGCTGTCCAGTGAGGATTAGAGCTGTTGTTAGAACCTTGGACCAGTGGTTCTCAAACTTCTTTTTCCACAGCCCACTTGAAAATTGCTGAGGGTCTCGGCAGCCCACTTAATGATCTTTCCAAATGTTGTTTGTACTGTTAGCTAACTACTGTAAAGCGCTTTGGATAAAAGCGCTATATAAAAAAAATAACATTTTTCGTTCTACAAATAAAAGTACACAACTCGTATTTAAAAATATATATATATCAGTAGTCTTACCTTTCTAATGTGATGGATGTGCCCTCTCTCCCCCGCCACAGTAGCCCCCGAGCTGAGGCTGGGAAGGAAGGGGGGTGTCTCTCCCCGGCAGCCCCAGAGCTGGGGCTGGGGAAAGTCGTCTCTTTCTCAGGCCGCTGCAGCCCTGCACATCCCAAATTCCCCCCACCCCCTCTTCTCACCCCACTGCCCCCTCCCACCTACCCCCTATTCCGCCCAAGGCCACCACCTCACCTTACATGTTCGTCTTCTCCAGGGTCCAGGCACCTAATTAATGGAGCCACACCTGCGGGGCTCCATTAATTAGGTGGGTGGCCCTTCATTCTTGTGTGCGGCTGTCCAGGTGCGCACCTTAGAGGGAACTATCGGTGGACTACCTGAATGGAGCTCGCAGACCACTAGTGGTCCACGGACCACAGTTTGAGAACCACTGCCCTAGACGAATGCAGTTGATCTAATCTAATCTGCCTATCTATGGATTTTCTATAGTGCCTACCACCAAAGTCTCTAGGTGCCTGTGTCTACTCCCTCCTTGATTCCTTCTTTGTGCTGCTATTGACCTGTATCATCCAGGAGGTGTGACACTAGACTGACTGGGATGCAAGGGCTTGGCCTGCAAAATGGTTAATGCTTCTGCTAAGTATTCCAGGCTTCATCCGCTGTAGGAGGGCCATGCCAGATCGGCCACCCCTGGGTGTTTGTGCCTGATGATCTCTGTGTGCAGGACTCCAGAGCAAAGAGGCAGCTCTTTGATAAATTCATGGCTCCTTGGAAAGGAGCAGCTCAGAAAGGAGGGTGGGGAAAGGAGGAAAGAGGGAGGGGGAACAGATAAGAAGGAGATAAATATGGAAAAAGGAAAGAAGAGAGGCACTGCAAGAGTTAAAGAGAGAAGAGAAAACTGTATATGTGGAGAGATGGTAATAGGAAAATAGACAGGAATCAAAAATGAGGGGAGACGGGAAGAGATGCAGAGAAAGAGAAGATAGGGGTGAGGGAAAGAAAAATGCAGAGGCTGACAGAGAGAATGAGCTAGTGAAAGACACAGGGAGCGAGAAAGAGAGGGCATTGGAGGGATTGTCTGATGTCAAATCTGATAGAAAAGAGGATTTGTCTGCAAAAAATAACCCAAATCTAAGCCGCAGCCTCAGAGCAGCTGCATATTTAGCGCCATCGACTCTGCATATTGGTTCATAAAGAGGAGCCAAAGGGCTGCAAAATGAAAATTGTTGCTGTTTAGGAAGCAAAACAAAGCAAGCAGGGATGAGTATGATGGTTCCTTCCGACCTTAAAGTCTATGAGCCCCAGTTAGGCTGAATGAACCTCCAGAAGGATCTAATAATGACACAGGCTGGGAGGGGATAGGCCAGGTGAGTGGGGTTAGCCGGACTTGGCTGTGCTGTCCATGGTGCTGAATGGAGTCGGCTCCTCAGTCTGGACTGGCCAAGAATGTAACTCCCCCTGTACACCCCTCCACTCACACCCCCACACTCTTCACTCAGAGTAAGAGGCACCAGTTAGAGGGTGCAATGCACTGAGAAGAGGCTCACACATCTGTGACATTGCACTCCATAATGTTTTATGGAAATATGCTTATGAGTGTGAATACAATGTAACTGGAATATGCTTCATGCAAAAGGTCTCTTGTAAGGTATCATTACAAAGCTTATGATCTACTGAGTGTGATCATCCTATTTGTTTGCATCTATTATTTCTATGTCTGAAGTTAGGAAAATAAGATATAAACTTGTAATACTGATGTAAACTCATTAAGTGGAAACCATTAAGGGTGCTTTAGAATCAATGATCTGTAAATGGCTCTGTTTACTTGCAAACCTTGCTGGGTATGTGTGGGTCATCCCTGGAAGAACGGAGGCTGGGGTCTTACAGGACATGTGAACATGTCACTGGATACTGGAATCCATCTAAATCATTTAGTAGGAGGGGTGGGGACCCAGAGAGACAAAAGATTCCTGCCTTGTGCCAAAGCTATAAAAGGGGGCTGCCAGTCATGAGAACACCCCTGCTTTCCACCTAAGATGTCTGCTGGAACTAACAAGGACTGTACCAGGGGAAAGGATTGGGCCCAGACTAGGAAGGAGTCTAGTCTGTGAAAGAAGCTTATTGGAACATCTCTGAGGGTGAGATTTTACCTGTAAACAGTTTCTTAATGTATTAGACTTAGACTTGCGTGTTTTTGCTTTATTTTGCGTGGTGACTTACTTTGTTCTGTCTGTTATTACTTGAAACCACTTAAATCCTACTTTTTATACTTAATAAAATCACTCTGACCTCCCAACGGGGCTGTGGTGCCCTGGGATCCCAAGATGGACCTAATTGGGGGGGGGGGGTGTCCTGTTGCCTGTGCCTGCAAGACCTGTCTTGGACTGTGTTCCTGTTGTCTAAATAAACCTTCTGCTTTACTGGCTTGCTGAGAGTCATGGTGAATCGCAGGAAGCCGGGGGGGGGGCAGGGGCTTGTGTCCCCCCCACATTCTGTGACATGTGCTCATACATACATGTGGGGAAGAGGCTTTCATGATGGAATGAATTTGAACACATGGCCCAGATCCTCAAACGTAGTTAGGTTCCTAACTTCCATTGAAATCAATGGGCGTTAGATGCTTTAATACACTAGAGATTCTTGGCCTTAGCTCCCCTCTTGCACTGCGTAATCAGTGTCGCACTAGGGAGATGTGTGTTTGTGCATTGTGCAGGCACACAGTGGGGCTAGGGCTCTCCGGATGGGAGGAGCATAGAATCACAGCAATAGATCTAGAAAAGACCTTTTAAGTGATCCTTTCTCTCACATTCGCACCTCACCAGCCAGTGCATGATTGTTCCTTAGAGTACCAGCTGGGGTTCTCACGAGAGGCTGCATCCTGCCAGATGATGACAAATTGACAGACCTGTTGAACACTGAAGTCATTAGGAGATGAGGGCCCTCAGCACCTCCAGGAGTAGTTCCAAACCTTGTAGGACTGGACCTCAAAGATAGCAGTGTCCATCTGCATCTGGGCACATATGGTATTGTTGCCCCTTCTTTCAATCCCAGTAACCCCATCATTCCTCTGCTGAGCAGTTGCAGATATCGGGGTCTTACAAATCAGCTTCCCCATGTGGCATTTGATATACTCAAGTGTAACTTGGTATATTTACACACATACACCAGTCCTGGAATAGAGGCAGGACAATCCCTTCTTTCAAGGATCTATCCGACACCAATGTCTGGTTCCCAGGGAGTAACTCAGCCTCAGGAATGAACTCTAATCAAAGAGCAGGGCAGAGATCTGACTCGCCTGCCAGTCTCACAGCTCCCTCTACCCAGAATCTTGTGTAACCGCAACAACAACACAACACACCTGCATTTCTGCCAAGACTAAAAACTTGCTCACACACTAAGAGGAAAAACAGCTTGGAAGATTGTGTGTAATTGTGCCACCTGGCAACTCTCACCATAACAGTATGTTTTCTAGCCATGATAAGGGAGGGCTGGTGATGCTCTGGCAGCCACAGGTTCTGTGCTCACCATATCACTATGAAAGCCTGAAAAGTGCCTTGCAACAAGAAAGGGAGGGTAGGGTGAGGAGCAGGGAAGAGACCCATAAAGACCTGATCGAGGTGATGACTGACAGAGCCCGTACGGGTGCCTCTGCCATTGGGTAGGTATCTGAGGCACAGTCTTTCCCTGTAATTGAATTTACACCCAGATGCTAACTGCCCCAGGGTTTAGTGGGGTTTGGGGCCTGAGTGTTTGGAGCAGCCCATTGCAGATCCGGGGCCAGTCTTGACCTCCGCTCTGACTCAGAACCAGCTCAACATTCAGAGAGGTTTGGATGCAGGGCTCTGGCTTGGCCCCATCTCCACAATGGATGGAATGGAGCCCAGCAGGGGAATGCAGGCTGGGTAGCAGGCAGTGCCTACAGCGTGCTCTCCATAGGGATGTGGTGGCCGTCCCATTGCGTGGGACAATTAAAACTAGACCTGGGAAAGCCCCGGAGAACACACTGTCCAGAACAACCCTGTACTAGCAGGGCAGGACAGACTGCCCCACTAGGTCTTTCCCATCACTGCACCCTCTGGTTCTATCTGTGCGGAGCAGCAGCTGCTGGCCAATGCCCGGCTCCATCACAGTCGCTGCTGATCCCCTCCAGCGGGCACGTGGCTGCGCTGGAACGTTATATTCCAATTGGATTAAGGGTCAGAGAATACCGGCTGTTATTTACCTTTGATTAAAACCAGCCCTCCTCCCTCCCGGGCTGGAGAGACCAATGTTGCTGCTATTTACTCTGCTGCCAAGCCTGGTGTTCCCGCTCTGCCCTGCGGCACTCACTAAAAGCCAAGGCAGGGCGGGAGCCTTGCGTGGGAGTGGCGACGCAGGCCACGCTGTCCCATTTGTTTCTTTTGCAATCAGGATTTCATGCCAGCTTGGTGCCGGGGCCAGAAATACCAGAGCTGCCCAGCTCAGTGGGGCACGCTGGGTGAGAGAGCAAGAGAGACCTGGCAGGGCTGGGGGCTGGCCGGCAGAAGGGACAGAAACTCGCTGCCCTGGCTGCCTGAGTGTGGGGCATCGGGGGCTGCTCCTGGACCATACTCTGCATGTTCCCACTTTGCTCCTCTCTCAATTCCCCACACCCCCTTCCAGCCTTCCCGCCTCGCTCGCCTCTGCTTTTCCCAGCTTCCTTCAGCTGACTCTCATTCGCTCCTCTGCTCTCCCCTCAGACTCTTTCTTTCATCCTTTCTTTCCTCTCCTCCTCTCTAGCTCATGTTTTCACTCTCCCTCTTTCTCTCTCTCTTATCCCATTTTTCTTCTGCCCCCCTGGTTTGCTTTCATTATCTCCTCCATTCCCGTGGCTTGGGCTCCCTCTCCCCCAGCCCCAGCTGCTATTCCAGGACAATAGAGCAGATGGCAGGCTGTTTGTTTTATAGGTCCCTTCGGAAACTCAGCTCGGCTCGCGAATCTGCCACTGTTTCTAAAAACAGACCCCGTATAACGCTGAACCGAGCACCACGGGGATTGGGAGGGGAGCTCGACTCTCCCCCCACCAGCTGCACAGGGGCATCCTCCCTCTGGCTCCTCTGGCCCACACCAAGCCCCTGGGAAAATAAGTCTATTGCCATTTCCCAAGCAGCTGCAGCAGAGCACAGTCACAAGTGAAATGAGTCTGGCCAGCCTCTGCTGCAGGGATTCCAGTGATAGGAGACTGACTTTAAGGCCCTCTCCCCGGACATCAGTGTTCCTGGGGAGTGTGCGCGCTCCTTCCAAAGGCGCCAAGAAACTGAGCTGCGTTTCACACAGCGACAGGTGGGCAGGACCCCGGCGTTCGATCCCGGGCTCTGCTGTGTGACCTTGGCATGGTGTTGCAGCTCTCCGTGCCGTTGTTCCCCACACCTTCCCATCTAGTCTATTTACCTGTAAGCTCTTGGGGGTAGGGACAGTCTCTGGCTCGACCCAAGGCTATACTGCATACTGTTGCTGGCTTAGCTATGCTGGTCAGGGGTAATCCCTGCCCAATGCAGCTGTGACAGCACAAGCCCCTAGTGTAGACACCATTTCACCAGAAAAGCTCCATTTTTGCAGACCTAGCTTATTTTGCTGCTGGGAGAGGGGGCTAGGGCCCTGAGGCGGCACGGAATGTTTTCTCTCAGGTGCTTGGCTGGCTGCTTCTTGCTCACGTGCTCAGGCTCTAGCCACATGTGTGGTCGAGGACTCCTCCCTGGCCCCAGGTCCCTTGCAGGTCTTTCACCTTCCTCTACAGTGGGTGGGTGTAGGTGTCTTATCTGGGTATCTCTCACCCATTTCACTGCCATTGCAGGGGCCTCGGGCATTGGTGCACCTCAGTTCCTCTGCTGCTCTGCCTGCAGCACATATCAAGTCTCCTGTGGGCTGTAACACTTTGGTCGAAGTTCGGCTGTTGGGTTTCGTGTGTGGGTGCTAGGTGGTGCTGGGGGCCTGCGATACACAGGAGGTCAGACTGGATAATCAGGTGATGTCTCCTAGCTTTAAACTCGATGACGCTAATAAGCTATATCACCAAAAGTGCAGTTTTGCCCACCCTGGGAGCCCTTTGCTGCTGTAGCAGACCAGCAAAGCATTCCTTGTGCAGGTCTGGCCCGTGTGCTTGCAAAGTACTACCACAGTGGGGACTGTAGGCACAACTGCAGTACAAACAGTAAATGCACATCAACCCTGGCGTACAACCCAATTGCAAACGGAACAGCCAGCCCGCCTAGCGCTGGGAGCACGTCGGCTCTTCTGACTAATCACGGTTGAGCCAGGTCACTGCTTGACCGCCAAGGACCAGGCAGGTACGGCACAAACGCGGTGCGGGTGGCTATGAGGATGCTCCCCTGGGTGAACCCTGTACAGTCCAGCATGGAATTATGACCCCCTGGGATGGGGGAAGTCCTGGCTTTTGGCTGAGATATAAGATCCTAACCCCTCTGTTGGCCATTAAAGAGCCCAGGCACTTTTTGTAAGAGTCTTCACCTCGTTCTCCCCATCAAATTCCAACTCAGCTAATTACATCGGCCCGGATCCTCAAAGGGATTTAGACACCTAACCACCATTACAATCAATTGGTGTTAGGTGCCTAAATACCTTTGTAGATCTGGGTCTAAGGGAATTGGGAACTATGGGCCAGGGAGCCTTTCAACGCTTGACACCAACTCTAATAACCAGCAGTATGTCTCCCACTGGAGAAGCAGATCTCCAGTAGCAAAAGTCTCCCCCCACCCTCCTACCCATGGCAAGGGGAAGGAGAGGCAGTTCCTGGGTTTCATTGTTACCCTTCTAGCTACAGCAGGGCTGGGCTGGCATCGGAGCTGTGGTGATCTATCCCGGAGCGAGGTTGTTGTGATTCTCCAACCTGCACCGCCGGGTGCCAACAAAGCGGGAGGCGTGTGTGCTTTGCAGAGCACAGCCATCCCACCCCAGCCGCACAGCCGCTGCAGAGAACGAGTGTAAATAATGACAGCGCCGGCACAGGGAACGGCTCCCCAGAGCAAGAGAAGCACCTCATCACTCAAGCACCGCCCGACCTGAGTGAGTGATGGAGACTGTTCTTAACTGCAGGATTGGCCTGACTGTCGGGGGGGAAACCAGCCTCTCACCCTTTTCCTTCACAGGCTGCATCTCCCTCCCCACACTGAGTCACGTGTCCTCGCTCCTTCCCAATGGGACAGATCCTCAGCTGGCATCAATCAGCAGCTACTAAAGTCAATGAGGCGACACTGATTTTCACAAGCAGAGGATCTGGCCTTATCTCGGTCCCTCATTCTGGCTGTCTCCTCTTCCCTTCCCTTACACTCCTACGCCAGCAGCCCCTTGCCCCTGTTTCTTTATCACCCCATCTTACCGGCCTGCCCCACAAATGAAGCTGACGTTGGGCAGGGGAAGGAGAAGATTGCTCCTGCTGCTCTTCCCAGCACTATCCAATTTCCCCACTCTGGCTTTCACTCCCAGACCCTTTCTCCATCTCACCCTTACCTCTTTGCATAACCCCAAAGGACACGCTGCCCCAGGGGCCTTCAGCAGCAGATCCTCTTCTCCCTGCCAGCTCTGGTTGTGATTACATGGGGGTCACAGCAGTCTCTCCCTGCCCCACAGGCCCCTGATCAGTCCCATTTGCAGCAGGTTGCTAACATTTCCAGCAGGAGACAGGCCAGATTCAGATAATCCAAGCACAAAGCGTCCCATTTAATTTTCCTCAAAGCTCGCTGATAACAAATTCTGGCTCCAGGAACAGAAAGCAATGGATGCTGTAATGAGGTGCATTCAGACGAGATGTCTGAATAACTAACTTGGGCTCAGTAAATCCTGGGAAGCAATTTAAACATCAGACATAGGCAAATCACCCCTATTTCTTGGGGTCCATAATTAATCACACACATTTTAAACAGTGGAAGAAATGAGTTTTTAGCTTTCTTGGAATTCAGGCTAGATCAAATTGCACCAGGCAGAAAATTCAACTTGTCAAGGGACAGCAGTTAAGGGGCCCCATCAGCTTAGTCACCACAGGCCTCTCTGAGTTTATTTTACCTGCTATTGTCACAAGTGACACCCTGGGTGATAGTACCTGACAAAATAAAGGGGGAACAAATAGTTGTCGCTAGTTTTTCCATCTTGTTTCCTTTGTGTATTCGATGGTGCTCTGTGCATAGTTAGTTTCACCATTTCCCCTCTTGGAGTGAAATCTTGGCGCCTGTGAAGTCAGAGGCAAAACTCCCATTGCTGTCAGTAGAACCAGGATTTTCACCCTTTGTGGATAGTCAGTTAGGCCCTGATCATGTGAATTGTGCCACAAGGAGCCCCCACTCCAGTCAATGGGGTTCTGCTCAGTCAGTTGCAGGCCTGGGGCCTTAGTCAGTTTCACCTCTTTGGGTGAGTCTCTCACAGCAGCAGGGGAGAGACAAACATCTAATAGAGCTGGTCAAAACAGCTCAAGCCTCAAAATGTTGCCACAGAGAACAGTGAAAAAATTCCACAAAAACTTTCACATTAGATTGTTCCCAATAAAACGGGATTGTAAAACCCCGACTCAGGGATGGGATAGTTCTTTAACACTGATCAGATTTCAAGTTGTCAGTGTCCCCTTAAGCTGGCTTTTTTGTGCTTAAAAAAAAACGCTCTTGGATCCCTTTGTCTGCTTTGAGGAGCCCTTTTCTTTCTAGTACAGCACCGGAGCAGTTACCACAGGCCCTTTTGAAGTTCACTTTAACACAACCCTGCTTTCCTCCACATCCTCCTCTTCTCATTAGTTTGCAGGCTCTTCATGAGAGCCGATGTTCTCCACAGGAGCGGTGCTTGCTGGTATGGCAAGGAAATGTTCCACTGGTTTAAGAAAGTTTGGACTCTCACACCTGCTGAAGGACTTGACCCTTTCAGGGCCCGATTCTCAGCTGGGGTAAATGGAGCTGGGCCAGTTTACACCAGATGAGGCCCTGACCCAGCATTTGCCTCCTATTCCTGCAGCTTGTCTTCCCACAAGACTCAGAGTTTGTTGTTTAGTCGCCCCCTCCCTCACCCCCCACTGTGTTGTGCTCTGACTGCCTCTGCACCTGCTGTCACTTCTTCAGATATGATTGGCTTTTTTAATCTAAGCACTGAATGCATAGGAGGTGAGATCTCAAATGGGTGGGGGGAGGGAATCCAGGCACTGTAGACTCCTCTCTTGGGCGCTAGGCTGGCTTAGGCCAGCCAGAAGCTTTTTCCTGTTCTGGTTAACTTGAAGCCCCAAAACATTCTCTGACCCCGGGAACTTCAAACTCATCCTTAATCTCAACGGATTGCCACACACGTACTCCTGCAGTGTGGGTGACTTCACTTTCAATGGCTTTGATTCCTATGGTTACTGGGCTCCCGTCACTGTGCAAGGAAACCATTATACACCCAAGGGGAGGTAATTGTTATCAGCAAGTCCTTGTTCCTGATCATCAGAGAGGAGTTTCCAGATGAAAAGGTGCATTTCTTGTGACAGAAAGCAGGACTTGAGAGCCGTCTGCTTCTTCAGAAGTTGATCACTGACTGGAAGAAATAGTTGGATTGGAAAGTGACAAGAGGCCACTGTATTCTTCTAAAAAAATCAAAGCATGCTTTCAATTCTTGAACCCTCTCTGCCCAGGTGGAAACACCTTTGAAACATGTGATTTTTAACCCTTCAATATCCTACACAAGGGTCTGCAGTGCAAGCCAGGACAATTGTAGTTCCTTTGCAGGGGGTTGGGCTGACCGGTTTGCAAAATGGTAAAGACACAGTGGTGCTCTCCGTAGGCCTCTACCACACTGACTGCAATAGATGCAGTTGTATTATCCCGTGTTAAAGATTTCTCTTCCAACCTGTATGACTATGTAGAGAGATCACACCCTGCACTTTCATCTGCATTCTCACAGAACGCCAGACGTCCCCCTTGTACACCACTGGCTTTTGAAAAACACCTTCCCTTGAAAAGGCACCCACTTTACATTTCTTTTATTCAGAGCATCCGTTGCCATTGAAAGTGGTTTCTTTGCTTGTTAGCTTTCCCCCAGTCTGCTCTCTGTACGTAAGCAAAGACAAAACGTAACTGCTATTCATTTCCCATCAATTAGGAGGGACCTTTGGGCAACACAACAAGCCCAGACCAGGGCAAGAGACATTCCCGCCCCCCAGGATCTGGAAACACTCTGAACAGTCAGCAACCTTGCATGTCCCACCTAAGGTGACCAGATGTCCCAATTTTATAGGGACAGTTCCAATTTTGGGGTCTTTTTCTTATATAGTCTCCTATTACCACCCACCCCATACCGATTTTTCACACTTGCTGTCTGGTCACCCTACTCCCACCTCTCCCTCTCACTCCTTCTTCCCCTCTCTGCTGCACTGAGCAAGGAGTGAGGAGCCAATGAAGCTGCCCCCTAGTGTCTGGAGGGCTGAAGAGCAGGGGTAATAAGCTGTTTGCCCTTCCGCTTTCACTCCATAGTGAATTTGGGGTTTTTTGGCATGGCTCTTAAATCTACCATCTCCAATCTGCTCCTGTGTGCTCCTTCACTATCTCCTCCTCCCTCTTCTACCTCATTCTCCCTTTCTCCCACTTCAAATCCTTCTTTAAGTCTATCCTCTCACATCCCCTCCCGCCAGGTAGAGATTGGAGTCTAATCTCAGAGGACAGGCTGGTCATTAGAAAGAGGGATTATCCCGATCCCCAGTGGAGCAGAGAAAAGGGAGAGTGCTCAGGGAGAGACAGAGAGATATCCCCACTTGAATAATGCACAAACCCACACAAGCCTCCACCCGCCCATCACATGGGAGACTCCTGGAGGAACCCAGCACTCGGGCTCCTGGCCCCCGTCCCCTTCCCAGGACAGTCCCAGTGCGGCGCTTCTCTTGGGCTGATCTAGCGCGAAGACGTGATCACACTGTCATTTTATTGAAACAAATGATCAAAGACTTGAGTTTCTGGCGTGAGAATGTAGCCAAACTATCTAAGCAGAGGCTTAGCAAGGGGGCTGGGGCAGGCGGAGCCCTGGCCAGCAGAGGCTCAACAAAGGGGAGGACAGAAAAGGCTCTTGTCCAGCATAGGCTCAGTGAGAAAGGGTTTGGGGGCATAAAGGGAGGAGAGGCTCTGCCCAGCAGAGACTGAAGTGAAGGCCAGCCGTACACTCCATTCACACTCGGCCCCACACGGTCAGTGCGGCTCAGGATGCATACAGAGATATGCTCCATCCACGCAGCAGGGGGCACCAGGTCTCCATCTATTCTGGCACAGCCAGCAGTTGTGGCCAAAGTCTGGCTGTTAATAGAGGCATAAGGTTACCTCCCCCACCTTGTCTCTCTAATATCCTGGGACCGACAGGGCTACCACTACACTGCCTACATTACCAGAGGCATGTCGACTTCCCCTCCCGCCCATCCTCACCCCCCACAAGTGTCCCAGAGCCCATGGGAAATTGGGTTGCATTTGAAATGTCCCACCAACAGCGTAATTCCACATTTTCACCTGGGCGCCTTGCTGTGGATTCTACCTTCTCACCCTGTGCCGTGCTCAGCAAGCACTGACCCACCAAGCTATTGCTAGCTGCAGCATGCGGCCCCAGGGCAGTCACTGCGAAGGAGAGAGGGAGCGCCCAGGGCGCCTTGAGTGCCCCCACACACAACACGAACTGAGGGTCGCTGGCCTGAGTGGGACCCTTTGGGTGTGGGAGCTCAGACAGGCCGTGGGCACCAGGAAGTGTCCGGGTAGAGAAGGCAGTGAAGGGATTGGAACCTGCAGGAGAGAGAAGGAAGGTTAGGCATATGCTGTCACAGCCGAATGAAGAGGCGTGGGAGGAGCGCGTCTCCCTGGTGCCCCATCCCACACCAGATGCTCTCGCTCTGCACTGCAGCTAGTGCTCTACATGTACGCCTCTAGACTCCTAAACTTCACAAGGACGTGAGGACGCTTAGAGGTGAGCCCTGGATCCAGACCCAACCAGCGGCAATGTGGGCCCAGCTCCCGCCAGGGCCAAAGTGAATGCCACAAACAACAACAGGGAAGGCAGGAGTCCAGCTCCAGCTACACAGCTCTGCCAACGCACTTCACTCCTGAGCAGCAACCTGCCCCTGCCCACGCCCTATTCCAACCCTGTTTTCATAGGAGACTCTGGGAGCAGGCCAGACGAGCCAGAGACTCAGGGACCCACCTGGAGGGGTCATCGTGCTGGGAGAAGGGGCCGGCCAGCTCAACAGTGTTGAGTTTCTTCTCGAAGACACCATAGCTGAGGGTGACCTGCAGGGAAAGACCATGAGAAAGGAAAGGGGGAAGTTAGGGAACAAGGGGGCAGCTTTGGCGGCTCTCAGCTTTTATGTGCCTGGGCTATAGATGCTCCCATCACCCCCCAGCCGGGACCCACTCTACAAGCTTTGCGTCCCACACCCAACTCCCCACTGCTTCTCCCCTCTGCCCAGGCTGATTTACAGGGCCAGGCTGCAGGCTTTCATCCCCTCCTCACCTCCATTTCCTCCATGTCTCCAGCCCCCATCTCACCTAAGCCTCTCCCCCTTCCTCCATGACATGCAGGGCTATATTGCATGGGCCCCACGGGTGGGCAACAGGCACTTCCCCTGGCTGTGCTGCAGCTCCAGAGGGGAGGGCCCTCCCCCTGCTCTTTGACTGGCAGCAGTTTTACTGGCTAGTTCATTGCCTTTTCATCCTTTGCCCATCATTGCAGAGAAGCGTCTAGGGATGCATTTGTCAGGAAAACCTCATTGAAATAATGTGCGGTTGATTCAATCAGGGTCACAATTACCGCCGGAGTGACGTGAGTCATCGCCCGCCTGCTCCGCTCCTCTCCCCCCGCCCCTCCAAATCTCTTCTCCAACCTCTCCTTCTCCCTTCTCACTCCCCTTCCCCACTCACCTGCTGCGGGAGCTGCGGCCTGGGGATCAGCTGCAGGTTCTCCAGGTGAGAGTGGAAGAGCATGTTGGGGAGCAGACGCCCGCCCAGTTTGCACTCCACGATGTAGCCCACGGTGCAGTCGTCCGGGAGGCGGATGAGCTCTGAGGTGCTCAGGAAGTTACTGCCGCTGGAAAAGAATGGGCTGCATTGATTAGTGGGGAAATACAGACATCTAATGAGATCCCCATCTTGGAGCGGGATGCGAGATCAGGAGCCAGAATCATCCCTGGGTAACGCCACTGACCTCAGAGATTCACGTTGCCCTGGCTGTGAAGAGGCAGGTGGCTGCCCAATTCTGTCTGTTTGCACTGCAAGAACTTATAAACAGATACCCACTGACATGCCAACTCAGCTCAACGTGCATGCAGTGCCCAGCACAGGTGGGGCCTCTAAGAGCTACCACAACACAAATACATGCCCTAACCTACCTGCTCTTGCACACTCACAGCTGGGTAGGCCTGCACTGTGCCCTCTCTCGCCCACTCTCACATACATTCACACACCCCCAACTCGTGCATGATCTTCCATGACATTCCCCTGGGTTTCTGATGCTCACATATCTACTGGCTTCATGGCTCACCTGGCCCAAGGTGCCATCTTGACGGCCAGCCTGCGGCTGATGCAGAATCCCGCCCCTCCAGTAGCGAACCAGAAGCGCACGGACCTCTGGGGAGGGAAGAGCAGAGAAAGGGAAGGGGCTGAACAATGGGTGTCACAGCTCCTGTACCTGCAGGTCTCAACACCAAAGCACTGGCCATTAGATACACACACAGACCCAGCTATAACCCACCTTCTGCACCACAACATGGGGTGGCACAGAGGGGAGCCTGGCTTCACGGCATCAGCTGGTCGAAAATGCAGGACAACTGTGCTACTACCATAGGACCAGAATTCTTCCCTCAGCCCAGTAGCAAAGAGATGGGAGACATGAGGAGTCCAGAGATGAGGGCCGATTAGCTGAACATAGAGGTGGAATTCTCCCCTCACTCAGAGAAGGGGTGGTCCCGCTGAAGCAAAGGCGTCCTATTGGTAGAGCAGTATGGGATGAATCTCTTAGCAGATGGGGTTCCCACTGAGGAGCAGCATAGGTGTGACTGCCTCTCTCTCGCTCTCTGGGCTGTGCATTGCTCAGACTGAGCCTGCACATGCCATTGTGGTTGTGTGACACAGGACCAGAAAGGGTTAAGCAACTTGCAGGCTAATTGACCCAGATTTAACCATATTAGTAGATAATGTTTCTGGTTTTGTGTGTTTACATAGATATTGCTAGAGGTGAACAACTAACCAAACAGTTCCTGCTTATCACTGTATTCTGTTAATTCAGAGATCAAAAGGAGATATTAACAGTTAAAGGAGCTGTGACTGGAGTGATATCACTGTCTTGATTTCTCTTTGGAGAAAATAGCAAATCACCTGCAAATGGTGAGAGATAGGCAATTGTCTTATGTTAATCCCTGTAGCTAATTACCAGAGATGTTTAGGAAATAGGAGGTTACTTCAAAGACACTATTGTTCACCCAAGAACTGCATGCAGTCAAGAGGCTGCCCTGAAACTGTATAAAGGGCTCTTGGGAGCTGATCCTTTTTATCTCAGATCTGCTTATGCTGCATCGGGGAAGTTTGAGCCAAAAGATTGAGATCTCCAGTTCCATTCCGGGTCACCCTGATACTGAACGTTGGATTGAACCTATGGACTAATTCTGAAAGAACTCTGCAATTCTAGAGTTCACCGTCTCTACTATGAACCTGACCTAGGGACTCTATTCATGTCTGTATGTATAATGATCTTTTAACCAATATTGTCTCTTTTCTTTTTTTAATACATTTTAGTTTAGTTAATAAGAATTGTCTGTAAGCGTGTATTTGGGTAAAATCTAAGCTATTCATTACCTTGGTGGGCAATGTGTCCAATCCTTTGGGATTGGTAGAACTTTTTCATATGATGAACAAGATTTTCAATAATCCTCATCATATTTGACTTAGCTGTCTGAGTGGGAGCCCAAAGGCTGGGTTGCTTTAAGGGAACTGCGTTCTTGGCTTCTGGGTAACCAATAAGATATTATAGAAGCTGTTTTGTTGTGAGTTAAGTATTGGAATAACCACCAGTTTTGGGAATTGTCTGCTCCATTCTTTATAGTTTGCCCTAATTGAGCAATCTCAGCATGGCCTCCCTGGGACTCTGGTCACAGGTTGCATGGGACCAGATTGGGTCCAGTGGAGGCCAGGCCCAGAGCCCTCCTCTTTCGGGGGTTTGACAAGACATGTGGTCAAGAATCATCAGCTCCCTTCAGAATCCCCAGTGAGCCAATCAGCTGCTTGGCCCCGTTGCTCTGGGGCAGGATTTACCGTCTGATTGTTGGGCATTGTTTCGGAGGCGTGGATGGGCCGGTTCAGGCTGGGCTTCCCAATGTAAACATCCTGGTCTGGAGAGTAGGAAGACAAGAGCTTCAAGAGGGCCTGTGGGTTTAGGTAGTTATCATCATCCAAGTGGCAAAACCAGCTGACAACATACAGGAAGACAGACAAGAGGAGGTTAGGTCAGGAGGCTGCTTCTGACTCAGCTTCATGTCACAGGCCTTATTGATAGCGGTCGTGTGCAGCTACACGCTGATGGCCTTGAATCAGCACCTCTGCAAACTAGACCCTTCTTCATCCTTTCCCACTGGAACTCCACTCACAGCCCCCTCTGAGTCACACCAGCAGCCACCGGTTGGCAGTGACAGCTTCCCATCCCTACCAGCCTGTGGTGGGAAGTTCCCTCCCACGCCCCTGCACGCAGGTGTGAAGGCCACCCCTGTGTGCTCACCTCAGGCCGCTGGCCAAGAACGCATCGAACTCGGCTGCCATCTTGCAGGAGAGGGCTGGGTGGCTATGCTCTGCGGAGCAGTTTGTGAATACCACATGGTCACCTGCGGGGAAAAGAGACAAAGCTCCTGGTCACTGCACTCTGACCCCACCCCACTCGCCTGGCCTGGAACAGGAAAACCCTCCGGCCAGAGAGAGCAGGAATCAATCACCGTGTTAATTCAGTCCTGGCCTTCTCACATTCACACCCTGCTCGCCAATGGGGTCCCCACGTCTCTCCGGCCTGTTCCCACCCCACCCTTCTCTCTGGATTCTATCTTCTTATTCATGCAGCTCTTTGCTTCACAACCCACATGCTGCTCCCCTAATTGAACACCATCCTTGCCTTGGAGGGGACCCTGCTGGGCTGAAAGGGAAAATGCTTGTCTCTGTGGGTTTTCGATCCCAGATTTCTCCCCACACAAGCAAGACACCAGCAGGAATGAGCTCACTCATCACTGATGGTGGCACTTAGTCTGCGCCACGTAAATGATCTGTTGAGGTGCTTGTGGGCGCCTCACAAGCATTAATGACCTTCTCAGGAAATCAGGCTAGAGATGTGGCGTTCTCTTCTGGCTGTAGACTCTCTGACAACAGCACTGTGATACAAGGAAGTACCGTCCTCCCCATCCTGCAGATGGGAAACTGGAGCAGCCAAAGGGGAAGTGGCTTGACACAGGAAGCCTGTTGCAGAGGCAGGAACTGAACTGAGCTCTTCCAAGTCTCAGCCCAAGGGCCTTAACAACAGGACCCTCCTACCCACCGGTGTCTGGGATGGAAGACAGTGATGCCTGACCCCCGTGTTACCACCCAGCTGTTTTTCAGAACAGCTGGAATGCCCGCAGCTTCTCCCGGCACGTGCTGTGCCAGTTTCCTGTCTCCCTCCTTTCAAAAGGCAAGCCCATCCCCCCAACTTTTCAGAAGGGAACTAAGCTTAGCTGAGCCTCGTCCCCAGAGTGAATCAGCGTCACTCCTGCTGGGGGCTCTGCAGGGTTCAGCCTATCACACAGATCCAGCAGGGCACCCAGTCGTGCGTGGGAGGAGGAGAACCAGCCCTCACTCAGGGCCTGATCCAAAGCTCACTGGAGAGTTGGGGCAGGGGAGCTGTGTGATAGGAAAGGCTGGGTTACCCATTCTCTTCTGCAGGGCTTCGTCTTCTTCGTCAGTAAAGACGTAGGTCTGAGAAAACAGGAGAGAGAGGAGAGGGCAAGGTTACTCCGAGGCCCGGTGCTGGCTCCATTTCTGGCCTCCCAAGCTGTCACGAAGCCTCCCCCCTCCCCATTCCGGCCTGTGCCTTTGACATCCTGCGGCTGCCTCCCGCTAGGCCGAGGGAGGTGGGAGACGCTGCCCCAGCTCCCTGCTCACCCACCTCTCCTGCTTCTCTTGCAGGGGTGGTGCCGTGGTGGGTGGATAAATAATCCTCTTAGAGCCCTGTGTCCTGCTCGCAAAAGGCAGGCACAGATCCTACAGCCCCCTCCTCCTCCAGCCGACACCAGCTGCAGGCCAGAGAGAGATTTCCCCTTGGTTCAGGTGACTGAAGGGTAGGGGCTCAAATCCTGGGCCCTCCTTTGCAAGAGGCAAGGGGAGCTGGGAAATCTGGAGGTTAGCTTCCCCCAGAGCTGGGATCCCCTCCTGTGTTCACACTGGGAAGGTTCCCTGACAGCCAGGGAACCCAGGAGTCCTGGGGTCAGAGTCCCAGCAGTTCTGAATTCAATGGGGCTATGCTGACTGACACCAGCCGAGGACCTGGGCCCTGGAGTCTTGTTTTCTTCAGAAAGACCCCCAGTAGCTGGCCAGTGCAGAAGAGAAGCCTATTCTGAGGGCTTCGTTACAATATGCACCCTTGTTACCTGCAGAGTCTGGGGACCTGTTCTTAAGCAAACTCCCCCCACTCCCCTCTGGCCCTGCCACCTGGTGAACGTAGAACTCAGGCAGCAAGACAAGGGAGGGGAGGCCCAGCTTTGGGGTCTGAATGATGTCAAGCCGCAGACGAAAGCAGCAGCTTTGTGGTCAAAGGAAACATGGGTTAAGAGGGGAACATCTGTTTGTGTGTATAGCAGTTATAGCCCCCTGCTGCTTCCCAGCCCCCACCGCTCGGGTCCATCCACCCCCCAGCCTCCAGCCGCCATTCTGTGACACATCCCCCTGCCCCACTGGGCAGGGGGGATCACGGCCAGCTGAGAAAAGCTCCCCTCATGCGGAAAATGTGCTTTCAAGGAACTAAAGGGCCTGAAAGAAAGAGACACAAGCCTTAAACAATCGCCCCACCAGCTGCCCGCAGGCTGGTTAAACACAGCGCCCGGGCTGGGGGCTGGCGGGAGGAGGGGGAGAGTACAAGAGCATTCAGACGGGCACCAGTGCAAACGGCTCTGGCACTGGGCCAAGGGAGCCCACACCCCATGCCCTAGCTACCAGCCCGGGTGCCGCATCCCAGCTATTGGGCAAGGCGCAGGAGGACAAAGGGGCCAGAACGCCAAAGGGGGGAAGCCAGTTTATGAACATTGGAATGGCAAGCCTGGGGGAAGGGATGTGATGAGGTTGTGCTGACGGGCAGCTGGCACCGGCCGATCCACCGGAGCGACAGTCTCCGAAGCAAGAGCGTGCGCCGGGCGGTGCTAAGAGTACCGAAGGGGAGAGACGCAGGGGAGGGGGATCCCCCCATGGGCAGTGAGGAAAGCTGCCTCCAGCTCAGCACAGGTGAGGGAGCACTGTTTGACGAGGCAGTGGTAGATGGGGGCCACACATCTGTGGGGCGAGGGTAAGGGCAAGACCACTCTCCATCCCCACCCCCAACTCTGCTGTGTCTTTCCAGCAGGACCTGGAGAAGCCACTCCAGTGATGTCAGAGTTCTTCCTGCACTACGCAACCCACCCCCCTCACGCCCATTCATGCAGGTCTCTAGTTAGCAGGGACCCGTCTCCCTCAGCAGGGCTGCCCAGGAGGGCTGGGGCAGGACAGAACCGGGAGGGCCCCCGTTAGAAACCTGGCAGAGGGCATTTGCTCCAGCCCGAAGGTCTGTCTCTCCAGGAGATGCCAGCCTCCGTTATCCACATTGAAGGTGTCTGGAGGGGGTTTGCTGGAGCCTCAAACCACATCTCCCTCACCCCCAGCCCCTGCAGGGAACACCCTGCTACTTCCAGACAGGGCCAATTTGGTGCCACTTTTACCAGCTCAGCCAGAGGGAGGGATAAGGTTCCCTTTGGGTTCTCTGGCTAACTGCTGTGTCTGTCTAGGTTCGTACATCCCGCCCGTCGCCGCAGTATCCCAGCACCTATAGCCTGCCCAAGGGGCTTGGGGCCTGGTTTGGCAGACATCAGGGTCAGGCGCAACAGAGCTGGAGTTCAACCACGCAGGGCAGCCCCCCACTCTCAGAGCCCAGGAGCCCCGCTGCTTATCCCGACCCTGCCAGCGCCGGACCGGCTGGAGACGAGGGGGGAGCGGGCGGAGTCAGCACTGGTGCAGGGGAGCCCAGGGCTGGGGCGGCACCGGGTGCGGGTGGGGTGGAGTTGGGGGAGAGCCCACC